AAAAGGTTTCCGGTGCTGGGCCTTCTGGATATGTGTGTCTCCAAGACCGTGGAATGGTTCGATAGATATAGAGTTGAAGCAGGATGTGCCGATGATTCACAAAAAATGACACCGCATGTTGACAAAGTGCTCCATGAGAGGTATGAGACTGCATGTACGTATGAAGTCATTGTGCTAAACACTGTTACAGATGAGTTTGAAGTGAGGGGTGAAAAGGATAGAAAACACTTTGTTAGCATTGAAGGTAGAACTTGCAGTTCTCCATGAGAGGTATGAGACTGCATGTACGTATGAAGTCATTGTGCTAAACACTGTTACAGATGAGTTTGAAGTGAGGGGTGAAAAGGATAGAAAACACTTTGTTAGCATTGAAGGTAGAACTTGCAGTTCTAGGGTGTTTGATATCGATAAGATCCCATGCAGCCATGCAATTGCAGCACTTCATAAGGTTGGTAAAGCGAATGTTATACCAGACTTGTGTTCTCCATACTATACACGGGAGGCATGGCGTCTTGTCTATCATGAAACCGTGTATCCGGTCCCCGATTGCTGTGAATGGATTATCGATGACCCGAATGTTGCAAATCTTGTGGTTATGCCTCCTATAATGGATGAGAAACGACAATGTGGGAGGCCTAAACAAAATCGGTATCCTGGTCCTGGAGAAGCACGGAAGAGAATCAAATGTGTAGCGGAAACATCAACATCGGCAATGTCAGAGAGAACAACTATTTTGGAGTGAAAAACATCGACAATGTTGAAAATCTGTATAATAATTGTTGTGTGTTGTATTGGTATTATGAGGTATTTGCAAGACATTTGTACAATAATGTCAAAGAACTTTGGTTGATGATATTGTAATGTGTGTGTATAATGTAATGATATATAATATTGTGTTTGTACCATAATAAAGATGTATTATTGAAGATGAATTTTGACATATATCTGGTTTAAGTTAGACATTATATGAATTGACTCACATGAGACAAAGTTGTAACCATTGTGACCAGCATGTGACCATGTGACCGAAGTGCAATTTTGCACTGTGTGACCATTGTGACCGACTGTGACCCATGACCGAAATGTATTGATAAATATAAACCAAACTTGAATTTTAAAGCTTGGGGATGGTTTATTAGAGTGTATATAACAAATATATAGTGTTAGAGGCAAAATTTAAATTTATTATAATGGGTTTGTAGAAGAAATATGTCAATTTTGCCAAAATCACTCATAAAACAATATGAAACATATAGGAACACATTTGGAATACCAACTTTGAAACCAAAAAATCACCAAACCCATATTTTATTGTTCAAAACAATATAAAATAGGCTTATGAGGGATGTGTGACGTTGTAAACTAATTAAATTGACAAAAACCGCATGGATCGAAGGTTGTGACCGGTTGTGACCGACTGTGACCCATTGTGACCGAAATATGTTGTGGAACCCATACGAGAAATAGTCAGAAGTCGCCAGTTTTTTTCTGTTTTGTGGGTCCCAGTTTATTTTCCCTCCCAAATTTTAACCCTAAAATTTTTCCCTCCCAAATTTTAACCCTAAAATTTTTCCCTCCCAAATTTTAACCCTATAATTTTTTTCTCCCAAATTTTGACCCTATATTTTTCCCTCCCATAATTTTAACCCCATAATTTTCTCTTAAACCTATTTTTAACCCTTTTTTTCTCTTAAATTTTAACCCTATTTTTTTTCTCTTAAATTTTAACCCCATAATTTTCTATACAAACATTAAGAATTCGAGATTTTTTTCCAACTTAATCCAAACAAACATAAATACTAATAAAAAAGATAATGTCAAACAAACAAAAGTAGTCTTAAAAAGTGTTCAAAACAACATAAACGTAAGAAGGGTTTAGAAATCGTTCACTCTCTCTTCTTCCTAAACCTTTGAGGCTTGCCATTAGCGAATATTGCTGCTGCTAGTTGTTCACGGATCAGTGTGACATTGTCATTACATATCAACGGTAATAGCATCCGCTCTTTGGCAAGGCAAATGGCTTCGATGTACTTCACTGCGAAAACCCCGCATTCTTCCCCATTGTTTTGGGGTACGTCCTGCACATATTCAATGTCCAATACATCTCCATCAGCGAAAGCTTCCGACCCAGCGAGGCAACACAACTTCGGAACGGCATGGCAGAGTTTTTGAACTGCCTCTTTCGCCTTTTCCTGCAGTCTGGCTTGACAATCGTAGATTTCCAGAGTTTTCTCACTGAAATCCACTTTAATGGCAATCCAATTGCAGCTGATTTCATCATTGCCAAATCCGAGAACATTAAGCACACTCACGAATCCCTCGTAGCTGATCAACGGCGTCCCTGCACAGCCAATTGAAAGCCTTCCGTTGAAGTATGGGTGTAGATCGCCCACAGTTGTCATATCTCCCGATTCGGCCCATGTATTGATTAACTCAACAAACATGGTGTCACACACCAAGTAATTGCATCCAATGAAGGTCACGGGATTCTTTATAACGCGGGTTCGGAGTTCGTACATCGCCTCATCCATGTGCTACAGAATAAAACAATACATGTCAGTAAATACAATCAACATTAAATCTTGAGATTCTGTGACCATGTGACCTTGTGACAGTGGGATCGTGATCGTGTGACCACGTGACTCTATGATTGTGTGACTGTGTGATTGTGATTGTGTGACCGAGTACACTTACAGTATCTGTGAGCCATAGTCCGACTTCCAAAAGTGTCTCCCAAAAACTTGGTTCCCGCTCAACATTCAACCTTGACTTCCACAATCTTTTTTCTTCTAGCTTCTTCATAAATTCCCATAGAGATGTAGCCCTTGGTCCATCGCATTCAACAAAAGTTTGATTCCAGATAAGGAACTTACCACTACTGTGAATGCGCTCAGGATTCCACACATACTCCTTTTCACCAACAACCTCTTTCTCGGTTGAATCCTCAGCGACCTCAGCAACTTCAACTTCCTTCTGGCTCGTATTAATGGTGACTCTACCTTTTCCTCTGCCCCTACCTTTTCCTCTGCCCGGGTATGCATGGGATCAGGTTCTTTTTGCAGGGGGGCCACTTGATACTAGATCGACGTAGGGACTTCTCTTGGTCGGACCATCAGCAACTTTCCTTTTACTCCTTTTCAATGGTGTTGGGGGATAACTTCTGCTTCAGGTTGTGTCACTACCTCTTCGTTAGGTTTTTCAGACATTACATCATCCTCATTGACTTTATCATCATCTTGAGCATCATCTTGATCATCATCTTGATCATCATCTTGATCATCATCTTTATCATCATCCCCTTCATCATCCCCATCATCATCCCCATCATCATCTTCTTGATCATCATCTTTATCATCATCTTCTTCATCATCCCCATCATCTTCTTCTTCATCTCCATCACCATCATCATTATCATCGTGACCTTGAGAATCGTGACCTTCATCCTTATCACCATCACCTAAACAAAAAATAGTGAATACAATCAAATTAAATTCTGTGACCATGTGACCTAATTACATTGTGACCGAAACTTTATTCCAGTACTTACTTCCCGAACACCCTTCTTCTTTATGTGCATTCTTGGGCGAGGCAGCCATAGGAGTCCCATCTCGAGACTGCAATATAAAGTCTTCTTCTTCTGCCTTATCATAATATTCATCAGTCCCAACAGAATTTATCGGACTTGTCGGTTTTGCTTCTGCATACTCTGGTTTTTTGAAGGTTGGGCTCATCCTCACATTGCCCAGATCTATCGGACTTGTCGTCAACCCCTCTGTGTGGCGGGGACTTGTCCTCAAAATTATGGGCTCTGTTGGATTCTTCGTAACTGGATCAAAAAGGAACCCAGCGTTCTTGAAAAGCCGTCGAACTATATGCCCAACAGAATCGATGATTCGACTCTCAGACGCTTTTATTTCCAGCTGTATATATTCCTTCAGTGCTTCAATATGTGACAGCCCCGTTACTCCTTGACGAAAAGCCCTCTGTTGTTGTTGTTGTTGTTGTTGTTGTTGTTGTTGTTGTTGTTGTTGTTGTTGTTGTTGTTGTTGTTGTTGTTGTTGTTGTTGTTGTTGTTGTTGTTGTTGTTGTTGTTGTTGTTGTTGTTGTTGTTGTTGTTGTTGTCGTTGCTGCTGCTCTCGTTCTTGTACTTCTTCTTCTTCATCTTCTTTCTCATATACTTCCTCTGAATCATCATCTATCAATACTTTGCGCTTACCCTTCCTTTTCGTCTCCAATGACTTTCTGCAATGTAGCTCTGCATCGCGACTCTTCTTCCAACATATGCTTTCCGGGTTCTTTTTCAGATGTTGCATCCAAAATTGAACCTTTGCATCTGTACTCCCTTCATACCCTTCCAAATAAAAAAGAAGTGCTTCTTCACCGCTTTCTATCTGCAGTATGCTTTTAATACCCTGAAAACAAATGTGATTCAATGTTACTATAAGTATTCATTCTGAATCATGTGACCATGTGACCATGTGACCATGTGACCATGTGACTATGCGACCATGTGACTATGTGACTATGCGACCATGTGACTATGTGACTATGTAATTATATGATTATGTGACCATGTGATTA